AATAACTTTTAACAAGTTAACTCTTACGTTCCGTTCAGTCGAACTAAAGCTCAAAGAATTGATACTCGTGTTTACTACAAGGTTTGCTTGTCTTATAATTTTAGTTTTGCCCGAATTTAGAAACGCAAGTCAATGAGACGTTTGTGTCTTGCAAGGACTGAATGGTTTCACCTGCTTTGTTGTCACTCAACCCAAAAATGGCTGTAACTCAGTCAGTTTTATAGATAATGTGGCGATTTAGCCACTGTCCCAACTCGCATTGGTTCTGCACCACACCGCACCAGTTATGGGTTTGCCCACTGCCGATACCCACCCCCATTCATCTCGGTTTATGGGACCACCTTATTTGTGGTTCCAAGCAAACCGCTCCGAGGTGACGATTTTGACGTTAAGCCGACAGCAGCCGTTGATTAGCCTGCGGAGCTACATCACTGGATGATCCGCCCAGCAAAACTGCAAACTACATCTGAACCTCCATTTCGAGTTGATCGAGTTGTTTTTGTTAGTTTCTGGTATGGATGCACCAAAAAAAAAGTGTTGTGTACCAATTATGAGTTAGCTGGACGGCGCTACAAGAAATGAACACATTTACAGAGGTATTGGAGATAATGGCGTAGCATGGCTATACCCAGATTTTTAAGCAGTTCTGGTTTAAGCTAAAAAAAAATCAAGTCGGATTAGAGGGTGATTAAGAACCACAATGAGCGGAGTGGCTCAAACACAATGACCTGTTCCAATACAGCCCACTATGTTTTGATGTAGATATTTTTGTTTCATTTTTTACATAATCTATTTTATTTACTTGTCATTTTATATACTTTCATATGATTGTATATTGTTGTCTGTACCTCATCTGTGTTGTTTGTTTAAATCAGGTCTCTCTTGTAAATGAGTCCTCATGACTCAATGTGACTAACCTGTATAAATAAAGGTTCAATGAATAACAATCTAGGATTTTATTATTTTAGTCATGATCCATACCCACAAGTGAGGATTTAGAACCAAGGCGGACTAGTAATGGCGCTTTACCACTGTCTTAACTCTCATCGGTTCCACACCACACCAGTTAAAGGCCTTCCCACTGCTGGTACCCACCCCAATCAGTTCGGGTTATGGGACCACCTTGTTCGGGGTTCCAAGCAAACTGCTTTGACGTAAACAGGCAGCAGCCATTGATTGGCCAGCACAGCTATGTCACAGGATGAACCTCCCAGCAAAACTGCAAGGAGAGCAAAGTGGAGTCGCACTTATCAATGGCAACATGGCTTAAGTTGAGAGCTTTGCCTTATGATTCAGCTCTTCACTACAATGGACTGAAGCAACACCCTTATTACTGAGGATGAGGTTACAATCCTTTCAGTCATCCTGCCATCACTCATAAACAAGACATCCAGATACTTGACACTAGATTCTCCTCTAGTGATGAGACCCATCCTTGACCCGGAGGGTGCATTCCATTTTTTTCCCCTGGTGAGAACCATGGCCTCAGACTTAGAGGAGCTGACCCTCATCTCAGCTACTTCACACCTGGCTATGAACTACCCCAGTGCGAGCTGAAGATCATGGTTCGAAGGAGCCAACAGCACCGCATCTTTCTCAAAAATCAAAGACGAGACCCTGAGGTTCCCAGACAAGACACCATTCTCTCCACAAGTGCGCCTTGAGATCCTGTCCATGAACACATGAACACTAAAAGGGGGATCGAAGACAAGAGACAGCCCTTGTGGAGTCCAATCTGCTCTGGGAACCAACTCGAATTTGTGCCCACAGAAGTGACTCCTGTAGCACCCTCTTCAGATTGCCTTGAGGAACGTAGTCAGTCATAAAGCCTTCTCCAGATTCACAAAACACATATACTGTAGATTGGAGTCAACCTTTAGAAGCTTTACGAGGGTAAAGATCTGGTCTACTACCTGAACAGAGATCTCAGTGGTCCCATTACCTTCTAGAACAGAGGTTCCACTGGTCTCACTACCTTCTAGAGTAATTCCACTGGGAATAGACCTTGAGGCAGGTCCAGAACTCTTTGGTAGGATTATGTTTCTTCTCCAGCCTGGGAACACCAACCTGTTGAACTGTTGACTGTGTCTTTGCCACAGATTTACAGAAGACATTAACAAAACTCACTATTATGTATCCTTAATGTTTTTACACAACTGGTTGCTAATGAAAATTTCAGCTTTGCTCCTCACCCTCAAGAGCCTTTGGATACGTGACCACTTGGGTTTAGTGCTGTTCTGTTGCTGTCTCATCTGTCCAAGTCAGTCATAATCCGTCAGCTGCCACATTTCAAAGTCAAAGCACACTCACAGTGACGAGCACTGGATAATGTAGGCTTCATCTGTTTCTATATGATTCATTCACTGTTCACGGGGTTGTCAGTGGCGAGACGTGCTCACATGCATTGCAGTGAGTGATGGCGGTGAGTTCAGTGTTAGAGTGTGAGGACACAGGTTGTGTAAGGGATCCATCTGAAACAGCTACAGTACACCTCACTGTGACAGAGACGCGCTCGCCCACATTAATCTTCAGACAAAAAAAACTATCTCTTTTGTATTTCTACCTTTACTGCTTGTAATAATCTTTGTCATATTTGCACTCGTGCGGACAAAAGGTGTAATTAAGGAAGTACAGATGTGAGGAAACATTACTGTAGGGGGCTGAGGATTAGCTATTTCCCCAAGGATATTAAGGTAATTGTCAGGCGTGATAGAGACTGGTAGCACCAATTAGCTCATTCTTCTGGTGTTTGCAATTGCATGGCACTAATAGATTGGGACTTGTGTCATGGCTGTACTGTATATTTGCTCCCACCCCTTTTTTTTCCCCCCTTGCATTATCTGTGTGGTATTTAGCCAGGTAATGGGGATTCAAAGAAAATGGATTAAAATGCTTCAAATTTGCTAGCAAGGAAGGTGGCGTGTGTGTATACAATACCATGTGAGCCTGGCTTATCAGTGTTTGTTTAAAGGCGTGCGTTCAAACAAATGCTGTGAAGCTGTAAACAGCTTTTTTTTTGTCCTGTAACTGAAAGGATTCAAGCTGCTTGTGTTGAGGTTCATTTTTTTATACTAATTTTACCATCACGATGAGCATTTTCAGAAAGTCCTAATCGTCAGCCAACAGATGAATCACCAAAATAAACCCACCACTATCTCATTGCTTTTTTCCTTCTATTTTGGTTCAAAGCCAGTTCCATTCTGACATTAAAGATTTGTAGAGCTGCAGACAGTCGTGTCATTGTTTTATTGCCTACGCTGAGGGATGAATTCCATTTACAGCAAAACTGGGTATTCTTAGGCCAGACTTGTTATTGTCCACTGCCTAAAGTAAAATGTAGGCAACAATGGTTTGTAAGCTCAATCATTCAGGTAGATAATGACAAAAAATGTTAAATCATGTCATCTGGACCAGTTTCTTTAAGTGAGAAATGTTTTGTCTTCCATCCAGGGGACTTAATCAGTCTGCGGCCTGCCAACCAGATGCATCCCATACGTAGCCTTCATTGCTGTGTTTCAGGCCAACCTCTAGTTGAAATCTCTGATTGATTGTTTGGGATGTGTGGGCCCTGTTTGCATGTGTTAAAAGCCTGCTTCTGAGATTCAAACTGGAGGTTGGCTTGAAATACAGCAATGAAGGCTACCTATGGGACAGATCTGGTTGGCCGGACGCAGACTGACAAAGTCTTCTGGATGGGAGACGAAATGTTTCTCACTTAAAGAAACTGGTCCAGATGACATGGTTTAACCTTTTGTTGTTGTTGTTGTTGCAGGCAACTTTTTTTTTTCTTCTTCTTCTGTCAGTACGTGTGTTTGTCTATTAGCAAAATTTTGCAAGAGCCATGGGATGGAATCATTGGGACCTTCTGGAGCCAACGAAATTCAAAATAGCCAACCCAGCTAATCAGTGTTAGCCAACACAAAAGTGGCTGTCGATGGAGTTATCCTAAACATGTATTTTTAAAGCTAACCGATTGTGCGAGCTCTTTCGATACCAAGTAAGACCATGTATAACGTTATTTTTAAGGTTTGATCAAAATGGTTAGAACTCCATTTCTCAACATAAAATGTTCTCCGTTTAAAGGTAAGGGTGATGGAAGAAATGTGTTCTTCGAGGAAGGCTAGGCCTTGCATCATTTTTAGGTTTTAGTAAACCTGTTGGAACTTCTTGAAAATGATGAGCACCTACAACGATTAACTCAATGTGTCTTTTTTGGCATTTTAGGTTTGTTGATATTTTTACACAGTTGTGGTAAAATATTGTTCCATCTTTGAAAGGACTTGTCAAAAAGTGCAAATTAGAAGATAAAGTTAGGGTTATCGCTCAAGCTAAAACCATGTTCCTCAAAGCACTGCCAGCTCCTGGTGGAAAGTTGGAGTGCCTCCTTAACCAAACAGACATTTGAATCTTATGATTTATATTTTATGAGTAGGGATAGAGTAGAACAAGAGTCCAGAGTGTGGGATCTTCAGCATTGATGCAGACCACCGATAACTACAGTGACCACAGGATTAAAGTCATGAATACAAACAGTGGAATAAAGTTCCCTTGTAAGTGTTTGGAAATAAGACAGTCTTGGTCATTATGAGTTATTGGAGTAGAGTGGTTGCTTCTTTGGATCAATAGATGCACCTTGAGGTTATTTGGGCGTTTCCTCAAGATGTCTTCTAGAAAAAGTTCTCTAGTTTATGCCACTTGCTGGCTTTGTGGCAGACCCAGGACTGGAGAGACTATAGGCCAATAAAAGATCCTTAAGGAAGGTGGCAGGGGAAAGACAAGTTTGAGGATCTTTGCTTGCTAATACACTCACTACCTGGCCTTGGATGTGTCAGAAAGAAATGCAAGAATACATTTCTAAATACGAAGAAAGATAGATGACATATAAAATATATTGCAGATAATTGCATGTAGTTACATGTATATGTCAATCTATAAGATATTTAACCTGTATAGTTTCAAGTAAGTAACTGATTCTTGTGTTTTTTTTTGTTGTTTTCTAGACCACCACTCTGATCGGTCTACTGAAGACAGCCCGCTTGCTACGGCTGGTTCGAGTTGCTCGTAAGCTGGACCGCTATTCTGAGTACGGTGCGGCCGTTCTCATGCTGCTCATGTGTATCTTTGCGCTGATCGCCCATTGGTTAGCTTGCATCTGGTATGCAATCGGTAATGTGGAGAAGCCTTATCTGGAGCATAAGATTGGCTGGCTGGACAATCTTGGGGTGTCAATAGGTACTTTCTGATAATAGCTCTTTAATTGATTGAACAAGGGCACTGCAGTATAGTACTGATCTTTTATTTTATTTTATTTTACTACAGGAAAAAAATACAACTATAGTGACCCCACCTCAGGCCCCTCCATCAAAGATAAGTATGTGACAGCGCTCTACTTCACCTTCAGTAGTCTGACCAGTGTGGGATTTGGGAACGTCTCCCCGAACACCAACTCTGAGAAGATTTTTTCTATCTGTGTCATGCTCATTGGATGTGAGTAAACCAGTTTCTTACTGGACTGCAAATGTTGGCGACTAGTTGAAAAACTGTATTCGTTCGATAGCTTTGTCTTAATGTGAGCAACAAGTTTTCTCTCAAAACAGTTGAAAGATTGTCCTCCAACAGCTTAGGAGCTCTCTTATGACAGAAATCATTAAAAGGCTACAGCCCTAAACTGTCCAGGTCTACAAACAACAGAAATTTCATTCAACCTTTATTTAAACAGATAAGGCACATTGAGCCTCAAAGACTCATTTACAAGTGAGACCTGTTTGGACGGACAATAAAAAGTGGTGAAAAATAACATATAGGATTTGAGACAAAAAAAAAATCCTAACACGCTTTTAACCTCTGTTTGAAGGTCAACAGTGTGCTAATGAAAAAAAAAAAACATTCACACACTAGCACATAATGACGCCGACATTACGCAGGGGAAGGGGGAGGACGCAAGGGCGGTGAGCATGTCCAGAGAAAACGCACAGAGGCACTGCAGAGTTCAGATAAAATCACTCAGTCCAAATAGTTCCCTCTAGAGAGATCCATACACACTGGGGGGCTACCGAGAACGACCAGAGACGAATCTAAAGAGTCCTGAAATGATGACAGAATGTTTACTCAACTGGTTCCTCTAAAAATTCCATGGAAATTCCTCGGTAGGAGGGGAGGGAGGGGGTAGAGCTTCAGGTTTACAAAACGTCCAGGCGAGTTGAGATGAGATGGCCTGTCAAGGCCAGTCAGGGAGCCGAATTCAGATAAACACGATTGTTTTTGGGACAGGCAGAACTTTAATGACATCTGCCTTGAGTCTGTGTCGGTCCGCTCTGTTCCGAAATGTCCAAATTACATGGCCACACCAATGGACCATACCTGAGAATAATCCCTGAGATCTGATCCATTCTGCCAAAAGCATTTGAGTCTGGGTGCTCAAGGCACGACCCAAGCCATTATATAAGGCAGGCAGCCTGATCGGGTCCAAATTTGTTGCCGACGACTTCCTTGATTGTTGATAGACCAGGAACCAGCCAAATCCAAAGAGCAGGAACCAGTTATCATAAATCCAATTATAAATGTGTCCTTAAATCTACAGATGGCAGCAGAGATAGACACGTCATCAAGTCTTCCAAGTCGATGAGATATCCAGCTGCATGCGTGCCAACAGGGCAAATCGACTCGCCTAAAGCCTGTCTTCTCTTCAAAGAAATGTCATCAATTGTGTTGAGGGACCAACTGATCAATTACAAGTCCATAGTTATGATTCGGAAGATTTGTAGAAGAGAGGCTCTAAAGCAGTTTCACAGACAGGACAGAGCAAAAGCAAATCGGAGAGGAGGAGAATCCCTTGAGAAGAGCAAGTGTTGAACAAACAAGTATTGGTTGTCAAAAACTCATCTACATCTGCCTGTCTTCATGTCTAAAGTGTACTCGAGTGAATTTAATCATAAATGTTAGGGCAGTTACCAAGGTGGGTACCAAAAGGGTTGGTAGAAGTGGGCAATAAAATATTGTGCATGCCCAAGAATGCAGTTTTGCAAGCCGTGCACATAAAAAATAGGCCATGATTTTCAAAAAATGGCTTCACAAAACAGACCCACATGACTTGCTGTTAGAAAAAACTCAGAATCCAGTGAGACTTCAACTGAACCTACTTTCTCACAATTTTCTAGCTATTTTTAGTTGCCAAGTAGTCTCCAGCAGTCGCACCCTAGTGAGCGACCACAGTTCAGTTCACAGAGGCAATGTGACAATGACCAGCTCTGACAAGGTTGCAGGTGATGTAGCTAAAGGGAATCTATTACCAGATGTGTTACAGACCTTTAATGTAAGCGCTAAACAAAGATGTTATTAAAATATATTCAGTTATAATTTGAAAAGAGACATTCTAAGTTTTTTTTCTTAATAAATAGTATAACCCTTACATGTGTAAATCAGAATTTCCATTGCATAGTAGGTCTTACAAGAAATCAGATTGGTCTATACTGGAAATGTTTTCAGGAACACCTTTGTGCACTACAGGTAGATGCTGTGTATGAGTGTACCCACCTGCTCCAACTTAACTATCAACTCTATGGCTTCTCTACCAGCTCTAATGTACGCCAGCATCTTTGGGAATGTGTCCGCCATCATCCAGAGGTTGTATTCAGGTACGGCCAGGTATCACCTCCAAATGCTACGGGTCAAAGAGTTCATCCGCTTTCACCAGATTCCCAACCCACTGAGGCAGAGGCTGGAGGAGTACTTCCAACACGCCTGGACGTACACCAATGGCATCGACATGAATATGGTATGAGAAGTGCTGCATGAACACCTGTGTGTGTTTAATATCATTCGAAGCAGGGCTTTCCTTGGCAAGCTTCTTGCTCATTTTTTTTTTTTTTTTGTTTCAGCGTGAATCAAAATAGAGTTTAGTTCCCTCTCTCTTTCCAGTTTCATTTGTTTGAGTTGGATGTTTTGAACGTCATTTCTGCTGAACTAGCTTGTCCTGAAAAATGCTCTTACCAAATTAACGTGAAGCAGTCTGCTATGTCGTTGGCATAGTATAATGTTTTCATTGTTGTTATACTGTGAGTCATAGCCATAAGAGAAAGATGCACATGGTAACTGGGCTTTGCTTATCGTGATGCTTTTCATGGTACTTATATAAGTTTGTCTTTTTCATGTCTGCCATGTCAAATGGAATGGCCCCACCACTCTGGTAAGAGCAGGAGGTACATGTGCTTACTCACCAAATGTTTTGTTGAATGTTCTTCAGTCAAGGAACTCCATCTAGCTGTGTCTCACAGTGGAATGTGTTGACTGTTTACTTATTTATAGTTTTAATGTATAAAAGTAGCTAATATGTGTGACCAGTGCTGGCAAAGTGAGTCACAATGAGAACACTTGCAACTTGAAGTTCTACAGTATTATTATTTTCAAGTTCTTCATCTCAAAAGCTTCAAAATGATTCGTAGTTTGTTTATATTTAGTGATTTATCACCTGACCTGGCAACGAGTGCTAGCTTGAAATCTCTTATCTTTATTGGTCTGGTGCGATGTCATCTGGAATTCCAGCCCAAGATTTAAAAAAGGGAATCCCCATATTTTGCAATGACGTTAGACATTATACGAAGGGATTTACGGGCACCATGGCAACCAGCAGAGAACAATGGTCAATTTCAACAAAAATTATGAAGAATGGAGTTAAAATGGTTATTTCTAAAGACATACCTGTTAAAAATTTAGATTTAAAGGTAGATTATATGCTATTTTAGTTACTAGGATTGATAAATATTCTTTCTACACAAATTTTGCAGAAATCTCAATTAAGGAAAAATTCATGTTTTTATTGCACTGCAGCTTTTCATTCGGACTCATTTTGCAAATATGGTTCACACACACCTATATTTTATTTATTTATTGATACTGTTAAGTTTACATTTTAAAATGTAGTTTTTCATTATCGTCCCAAACATGCATGTAACTGGAAAGCATTTTTGTGTCATTTCTGTCATGGAACGTATTAAGACCCACTTCATTCTGCAGTTTTTATGCTGCAGCCTACAATCGTTTAAATTATTTTTTTCTCAATAATTTATACTCAATTCCCCATAACGAAAGTGAATTTAGAATTTTATACAGTTGTTAAAACTTAACAGAAAGGAAGGGAGCTGAATTATTCCCAAATGTATTCAGACCTTTTTGCACCAACACCTAAAATCTATCTCAGGGACTTCCTATTTATCTTGATCTCTGTCGAGATGTTTCTGTACCATAGATAGGGTTATTGCAAATGAAGGTTCTCCAAAGCTCAGTTGCCTCCTTAAATCTCAAAAGGAAGAGCTGGTTTTCTGGGCACACTGAGCAGTCTTGGGGTCTTAGTGAGAGACGTGACCAAGAACCTGATGGTGACTGACTGAGCTTCAGAGATCTTCAATGGGACGAAGCTCCAGAAGGACCAGAACGGTAGACCTTTGCAAATCTAGGCGGGCTCCATGAAAGCATTTCCTCAAAATGTGAGGCATCTGTTCTAAACATGTCTGAAAGAACCCAACACCATCTTAGTAGTGAAGCATGGTGGTGGCGGCATCATGGTGTGGAAGCTTGTTGTAGCAGCAGGCTATAGAAGACTGGTCAGGGTTGAGAACAGCTGAACAGAGGACCTCAGACTGGGCTGAAGGTTTGTTTTACAACATGACATTGAAAGTCTGAATGGACCAGTCCCCTTATCTCACTTTATTGAACCTTTTTGGAGAAACCTGAACAATGAATGTCCAAAAGTCCTCGTTCAGTTGGACTGAGCTTTGGAGGATTTGCAAAGAAGAAGTTCAGAAAATCTGTCACTCTGGTTCTGGAAAATTTGTTGCATCAAACCAAAACATTTTTAAGTCTGTAACTGGGCATCAACTCAGTACTAAGTAAAAAGTCTGAATACTTACTAAAATGTCATATTTCAGTGTTATATTTTTAATAAATGTACAAAGTTGTCTCCATCATCATGGGTAATGAGAGTAGATAATTGAGAAAAAAAACAAATAATTTAAATGATTTTAGGGTCAGACATAATAAACCTGAATAAAGTGAAGTAGATCCCAGTACTTTCTGAACTTATGCAGCGTTTCCCCTAGATCAGTTCCCTTGGTGGGGCTCTTATAGTATTCAATGGGGTGGGGGGGGGGGGGGGGGGGGAGGGCATAGTCAAGTCTGTGTTGCCCGCCTGCTAGCTTAGTGCTAAGTTGCTGCCAGTTTTTATTGACGATGCTGGGTGGGGGAACAATGGGACGGAGTCACATCTGTGTTGCCCACCTGCTAGCTTAGCACTAGCTATGTTGCTGGTGGATTTTATCGACGACAGGAGGGGGAGCGATGGGACTGAGTCACATCTGTGTTGCCCGCCTGCTAGCTTAGCGCTATGTTCCTGCCAATTTTTATCGACGGGGTGGGGGGAACGCGGAGTGGGGCGGTACGTAAGTAGCATTTTTGCTAGCACATTTGTATTACGCCCCGCACTACATCAATACCGTCAGTTGTCGACAGCGGGGTGGGGGGAGTTTGGAAGGCAGGGCGCTCGGTTCTGTTGATGGGGCGGAGCGTCCCGCTTGTATAATGGTATGGGAAACACTACTCTGTTCAGTACAAATATACTGTAATTAGCGTCAATGATGCCACATCATCGATGCATTTACAGTATCAACTTTTCATAAAAAAGACATCAAATGTTTCTGGGAGGTATCCAGTAATGCATCTATCACTGATAGACGTGCATGTGGCCAGCCTGGAGGTCCCTTTTGCATGCAATCTGTACATTCAAACACGACCCCATGATGTTCATCTGGTATCAGAGACGAAGTGAGTCATGCCTGTAAGAGTGGGCACAGCCTCGCCATGCGTTGCCAGGTTTCCCTCCTAATGTGGGAGGCTTGGCTGCATGCGCCGTGGTGGCACCTGCGCTTGCCAAATGTTGTTCAATCTTTCTTTTTCAAACCCAAAGCTAAGTTTCTGTTACAAAAGCTACAAAAAGGCTTTCAGAGCTGAAAAAACAGGCCGACCAGTTCATCAGTTGAGACAACATCATCTTGTGTCATTAGCACATTATGTTTAATGATGTGAAAATGACAAAAGATAGGATGTGTGTTTTATTGTTTCATTTATTTATCTTTGAAGTTATTTTCTTTGCCTTCCAGTGTCTGAATATGTTGTTTACAGTCAGTTCAAGCTGTCCGGGATCATTAGCTGTTTTCTTACTGTTCTCTGTATTTTTGTTTTTGAATGGTAAGTGTATTATTATTATTATTATTATTGTTTGTTTTCTTCTGCATCAAATATTCTATTCAGAACCTACAGAGTCTGTAGAAATATGTGTGTTACTTGTTAGTCGAAGAAACGGAAGGAATTCATTTTATGGATTCAGTATTAATTTATCACTGTGTATCTAACAAGTTTGAGTCAGGTCCTCTGGACGGATTCTTTGTTCGAACATCATCTTTTATCCAAACAACTTCTTCAGTCTGAGGAGCTGCAACATGCAAAAGGAGGATCATCAGTCTAACATCCGATCGTTAGAGCCTTGAAAGCCACTTGTTATTCAGAGGGCTGAGTGATACTTGCAATAACAGCATTGTAAGAGGGGGACAATTGAACATGGAGGCCTCCACCTCTGTGTAATATGGAAAGGTTCTCTTCACAAAGATGGCCTCCTTTACTCGTCTCTCAAACCAGCGTTCCTCTCTATCAAGGATGTGAACATCTTCATCCCTGAAAGAGTGACAGCTGGCCTGGAGATGAGTGTAGACCACAGAGTCCTGGCCTGATGATGGTGATCTTCTGTGCTGGGCCAGGGATGAAAATCTAGATGCCAGCGAACTGGCTGATCCACTTTGAGAAGGTTCTGCTCATAAGACTGAGTTTGTTGCAGCTCCTCAGACTGAAGAAGTATTTTGGATAAAAGATTAAACGTTTCAACAAAGAAGAATCCGTGCAGAGGACCTGATTCAACCTTGTTAGATTTTTCTACCTGGATTATTGAACACGAATCAGGACATTATCACTGTTTAGTTTTTTTTTTTTTTTTTACTTCTAATAGGTCCAAAGTATTGGTCAACAGACATGGTTAGGTTTCTTTGTAGCTTCATATTGGTAGGATATAAGGCTTTCACTCAGGATGATAACTCAGATGCTTTCCCTGACCTGCACAACCTGGAACCATAGAAAATCTATTTTTGTGTGTGTGAGGGTGATCATGACTGCTACGTTCTTAGCTCTTACCAAAAAGGTTATTTCTTCCCCAAGATGCTCTCCTGTGCCCTCACCACCCACACAACTTGTGGTGGAGAGTAACATGGCTTGTGTTTATCCCTTATATATTGTGATGTGCGATTCCTGATAGAAGTAGAATTTCCCCCCTTAAATTGTCAAAACAGTGGTCTCATGCTCAGCAACAGGCTGTACAAGTCGTCAAGGGAACATTTGATTGTTTTTGTTAATCTAAAAGACCCAGAACAGTATGTTGCTTTACCAATTGAATAGTTTGGTAAATGTTAAATGGACTGTACTTGTATAGTGTAGTGCCTTTTTATCTAGTCAAGTACTCAAAGCGCCTTACAATACAACCCGTGCCCTCATTTACCTCCACACAGCACTCTACTAGATCTCTACAAAGCTAATCTAATTCTGTAGACTAATCAGTTAGATCACATTCATATACCGATGGGACACGCATAGGAGGCAATGAGGGGTTCAATGTCTTGCCCAGGAACACTTCAACAAGTGACTGCTGGTGGAGTCAAATCCCCAACTCTCCTACTGGAGGACAAC